AAATATAATCTGTGAAAAAATGTTAATGACAGAAACAGCGTGGAGTTTTTTTACATCTTGTAGAAGTCTCATTAGAAGGCTATAAAATTTTGGATCAAGCCCCTTAATACCTACCTAACTTCTGGGGGTTATTGAACTTTACCACATGCAGTCAATACTCACAATACAAATCTCGGTGGCTTCATAATATTAACAAATTTTATAATATCCTTGTCCGGTTGGAGGTTCGCACAGGCGAATTTCTCGCTACTTCTTTCGGGGCCCATGATAACTATAGACCGGCCCATTGCAGTCACCTTGCCTTCCAAGGGGAAGTTGCTATCGATAAACATTTGACGATCACTTCCAATACCTAAGTGAGGGTAGAATACACTTTTTTACTAAATTACTCAGAAAATTTAAATTTCGAATGGTACCTATAAGCTATACCAAACTACGTATATAGAGTCCGCGCCACCAAAGAAGTCCCGTAGACGCGGCGCTGTCAGCGTATAGCTAACTCTCTTCAATTACCTACCCCTAATTTATTTTCGATTAATATAAGATTTACAACGAATTAAAATTTGCGTTCTCGAGAAGCGAGCGTGATACACAATCATTCTCTCATGTATATATGTTATGTCATGTAATAAATGAATGATTGTAACATTCAAATAGTATAAAATGTCTATTATTTTGATTTTGGAGTATTATTTGAGTATTAAGCAAAGAGTATTTTCATATTTCAGTTATATCCACGTTTGGGGGGTTATATTTAGTTTAGCTTGTTGGTGGAGTTCGAGGCTTCATATCAATTACATAGAAACGTGCGTAAAAAAAATCTTAAATAAAGTACCCCTGGACATCTTTATTCCCCTTAAATTTAAGGGAAAAACCCCTATGTTGGCAATACTAAACAACATGGCCAAATTTAGTTATTTATTTTGCCGCGTAAGTGGTGGCGCGGACTCCTACTAAAAGTTATTAAACAGTAAAAACGAGGGTAGTTTTTTTTAAATAATTGAAACTACCCTCGTTTTTAATATATTTTGTGCCAGTAACTATTTTACTATAAATAATCATCATCACTTAGTTCTTTTTTGGGCTAATTTCCCAATTTAGATTTATTCTTACTTATAGTCCCAAGTCTCGCAGTCAGATCTCCTACATCACACCGCAATGGATTGTCAGCTCCACACTCTTGATTGTACAGGTCATGCTGTGGAAATAACATTAATTTTTAACATTAGCAAAATTATGACTTCATTATTTATGAGCACACAAAATTAAGACTATTATTTCTTTAATAAATGTACTATTGACATAGTATGTAATAAAATCAGGCAAGGCCTAAGACATGCCAGTTTATAAATTTTCCTTTACTTTACTAATGTTTGTACCCATTGTTAAAAAATACGTAGAGCAAACATACATTAAAGAAAAACAATTACATTTTTTTTTATTTATCAATAGGGAAACATGACACATGCAACATATGTAAAAAAAGGAATACAAGTTATTATTATACAAGTGTCCGTGAATCATTTCACAGATATGATTTTTTGTATTGTGTCAATAAACCCAATTATTTTTTCTACTAATTTTATATTTCGTAGTTTTCGTTTGGGTTGACTGAAAGAAACTACTACGACCGCCCATTCACATCCTTTGTGTCCATATTTTCCTCTGTTTTGTGTCATTGTGATGTAAATAAAGTGTTATTATTATTACTTTTTTAAATTGTTGCCCTTATTTAAATCTACAGAAAAGTTACAAAAGTACCCGTTCACAAAAAGCCAACAATGCACTCGCAGTCGGCATTGTTGCCCATAATTCCTGTCCGTTTGACCTCCTCCTATAAAAAATATACGAATACTTACATTTAATGGATCAGCGAGTTGTGTGAAATATGGATTCCATCTGTATCCGCCCGCCACACAACGCGTGTTTGTCACCTTGACTGCCGCATCCACTCCAACGGGATTCACAAATATCTCCCAACGATGGTTGCGAGTCTGGAATGTTTAAAAAGAAAAGATATTTTATTCCAGATTCTGTGTAAAATTGATTCTTTGACCTTTCTTTTGACTCTTTGACCTTGTGACCAAATTAATGACAAAAAAATGTCTAATAGATAAAATGCGCGATCGTGTAACTCTATTGTCTATGATGATCACAGGCGAGACTCATACCGGTAACTAATAATAATAATCCAGCTACAACCCTATATGGGTCTTGGCCAGAGATTGCATCTGTTTCTATGATCATTTTTAATTCATAGACAAGTCGGTGATCACGTCAAACTCAAACTCAAACTCAAGCTCATGAGGTAAACAATTACACTTATGATTGTCAAGTTAAATTAATTGTAAATTCATTATGACTACCAGTTCGCAAGTCAAGGGCGTAGAGCGGGTAAGAAGAACTGGCAAGAAACTTTCCGCCACTCTTTTTAATCGCCAAGTATTCAAATTGTTCATACAATTTGTTTGAACTGGAGCAAATCAATCCCAAGGATTAGGATCATTTAAAAAAAAGTCAGACACGTGTTGTAGGTTTTTGGATTTAATACCGGTTTCCGGTTTCTCACGATGTTTTAACTATTGTGGTCACGTTTCACCAGACAATAGTGTTTTATGCGCACATAGATAGAAAGTCCATTGGTGCACGGCCAGGGATTGAAAAGACGAACTCAGGGATGAGGGTCGCACGCTGAAGCCTTAGTAGGCCTAGTGGCCAACACTGCTTTTTTAAAGTCAAATAATGTATTGAAAATTATTACATTAACTGGCAACGAGATATTACTTATGTCAACTGTCATGTCCATAATAATATTATGGATATGGAAGGCTCTGTGTGTAGGTAGTATCAAAAGCCTAGAATTTCAGCCAAAATGGTATATATAGGTAAATTTATGTATTAATGTTATTCCCCTTTAATACTTCAATCAGTCACAAGCATCTATCTCATACAGTGGAATCTCTATAACTCGAACCTTGTTAAGTCGAAAAAAATTGCCATTCTTATTTAGACTTTCTAACTCGAACAAAATGTTATTTCCCTACGAAGTATTGATAATACATCGTTTAGAAATTCGAGATGTAGAGTATAAACTGAGACTCCGTAAGTCGTAGTTAGTAAAATATAACTGACAAGTAAAACTTGAAATTCCCCGAAATAATAGCAATAAAATCCAAAATTAATGTTCGGGTTCGGGGCACACGTGCAATTAATGAATACATTCAATTTTTTTTTTGTGTTCAGTTTACTAAATTAATATGTAATTCGTTTTAATATGTAAAAAATATATACTACAAACTGAAGTTGAATTGTGATTCAAAGAAGACTCTACAAATCGAAAAATACGCATAGAAATCATAGTACCTCTGTAAGTCGAAATTTCAACAGTTAAATCATACGTATCTCGAAGTTCTTGTTAAGTCGATTTTTTTTTGCCTTTCCCTTGACATTCGAGTTATCGAGATTCCACTGTAGTTACAAAAAAACTTACTAAAATATAAATTAATAGTTACAGGAAAACATCGAGAGAAAACCGAAATTCCTTAGACCTAAAAAGTTAACAGCGTGTGGCAGTCACAGACGGCTGATCACCTACTTGCCTATTAAAATAATCACGAAACAAATACAGAAATCTGCGGCCCAGACCTCAACAGAACTCCACTGTTTTTTTGTCAGAACACACTGTATAAACACTGTATTGCCGGTTGTTACATACCAAATTCCGGTCATACTGTCCCGGATGCCGCAACTTCACTTCAATAATCGTATCACTCGTACTTCCATCGTTGTGTATTAACTGTGTCATCCGGATATACCCGTATGCAAACCCACCCGGATGGTGGAAGGAAGCGATCCCGCGAATTTCACGCGCTTCAGAAGGACTGTACCCGCGTTCTATTGTTGAACAGGCCCAGCGACGGTCGCGTTGCTGTTAATTGTTTTTAATTAAAATTATTTATGTTATTCGTTAAAATGAGACTACCCTCCTTTGACATAGTTTTATCAAAGCATATACACAATTCATTAGAAAGACACTAGCTTTTATTAACAAGGGTATAGTATAATATCTTTATAATTCGTATGTTTTGTCAAATAGTGTATACGTTATTATAGATTATCAAAGTAGTACTTCAAGTATTCTGAGGTTTCATACGCTGAAAATTACTTTATTGGAGGTCTTAATAATTTTTTAACAGTACAATGTGTAATTTAGGCTGAAAACCTTTAAAAGACTTACATCTTTATGAATGGCAACCGACCGTCCAATTATGCTATACGGTCCGTGTAATGTCAGCTGTGTTTCATTATACGCTGTGGAAAACTTCTTCATGTCATCCAGTAACCCGTATTTACTTCCTAAATCTCCTAGTTGATATTGGTCCGCTGTACCTAAAATCCATTACGCCTACTTAGTATTGTTAAAATAAATCTGGTTATGTGCGATTTCGAAGTGAAATCACCACATAACTAGACAATCTAAATTTAAAAGGAAATCGCAATAAAAATAAACGTTCTATTTTTAAAAAATACCATAAGAATGTTAAACGTTCTAAATTTAAAAAATAAGCCATCAGATTATTAAACTTTCTTATTTTAAAATAAAACCACAATAAAACTAAATGTTCTACATTAAAAAAACTGTTATTGTTAAAAGTTCTAATTGTAAAAAAGAAACCAAGAAATTACTAAACGTTCTTAATTTAAAAAAGAAACCTTCTAAATACCCTCAATTTAAAACAGTGAAGTTCCAAAGATAATTTCTAGAGAGACATTCTAAATTTAAAATTGTATATTCGATTGTTTCGCTTTTAATTGTTTCCATTTAGAAAATATAATGTTATTCAAACCTCGTATCGTAGTATGTATTTGAATTACGAATTGGTTGGAACGTTTCTTTAAATATAAAATAACGAAATCATAATTGATGCTAATTTAGACTAGATTTAGATTTAGAATTCACAAGTTAAATAAAAAAAACTGTATATAATATAACTAGATATAAACTATATATGTAATATTATAGGCGTTTTAGTTGCTTTATACTACAAACTTGAGTATAGCAATATAGCAATGAGGTTGAACGTTTAACGAACTAATTAATTAATAAAATGCATTTTATTAAATTAATATTTACCTTTAGTAGGCGGTGGTTCAGCCGCCTTGCTGATGTTAAATGGATTATAAGTGTCATATAATGTTGTTTTCTCGCATGGGAACTCCAGTTCTTTTTCAACAGGAGTCTATTAAATAGTAAACTTATTTTATTTAGTACAATATATTTATTTTCCTTATGAAAAAATTTCAATTCAATAGCTGAATAAAAATGTTTGTTAGTGGTTAAAGCAAATAACGTAAGGACCTGAGTTCGATTCCCGGTAAAACAATAGTTGCTTTTTATTATTAAAAATCGCTTTTATCCCTTTATAAAAACGGATATTGCATGTTTGCCTCCATTGCTTCGTATTTAAAGCAAATAGTGTAAGGACCTGATTTCGTTGCCTGGTGAAACGATAAAGGTTTTGGGTATGTTTATGTATGTATATGGTAGATGGTTACAATATGTAATATTTAACAAAAATTCAAAATGACATCATTATTTTACGTACAATATGAATTTTATAGTTGTGTGCGTCGTGGGCCAAGTTGTCCAGATTTATTTGCACATTGGTGACGTCATACTCAGACTGTTGTATCAACTCCATCTTTCCGACGAGTGAAATTTCGTCACCATTACCGAACCAATCGCGAACCACTGCCTTTCGACGGTGAAGGCCGCTTAAACTGAAAATATTATCAAAAATAATTTTACCTCACATATTAACTTTTAAGGACTATGTTTGTTTATGTTTACGCTTTTTCGTGGGCCGTGGGGTTTAATATAGATTTAAGTTGGCGCCTGGTAATTAGTACCGGTGACCAGAGCACGCTCGCTCATCGAATAACTATCGCAAATCGAGGAAAGCGAGCATTAAAGGAACACTGCAACTGCGACCAAACTTATAAAATTTGTTTTAATTTTCTGTTTATTCTATTTTTAATTATTATTATAACTATTCATTTTAGTTTTAAGGAATTGTAACTATAACCACATGGGAGAGGCTTATGCTGAAATAATAGTTATGTATGTGTAATGTCCTGCTTCTTGGAGTGATTTACGGCTCACCAACACCACAACACTTGTACAAACGTCCTACACACAACCGCTCCGTTCGGGTGTCGGATTACGACTGACAGTCTGACAACTGACAAGTGACGTAGGCGCATGAGACAACCAAGTAACACTTTATTTAGTCAATACACTACATCCCTTTTTTGTTTTATTTGTTTTTATTGATTATATCTCTCTGATTACTCATTAATGTAACTTGGATGTAATGTGATGGATTTTACATGAATCAAACATAATTAATGAAATTAAAGTTTTATGCAGCTACACTAAGGTTAAGTTCCGACATTGATTTCCTCGTCGTTAACTTCATTTCTTTTCAGACATTCCATTCCCCTTGAACTCTTTTCAAATGTACAACTTCCCTCCTTCGAGTTTGACCGGTTTCATCGTTTCTTACCGTGATATCTCCTCTTTTCGTGATTTCCACCGTGTGTGTTTCTGGATTTATTTATTTTATTTTTATTTATTTCCTTTATTCATATTTTTATTTACACTATGTCTCCTGGTATTAAATCACACTATCCAGCCTTCCGTTTATCGTATCCGATTTCTTTTCCCATTTGTTTTCTTTTTTTTCTCTATCCATAACCTCAGTGTCTTGTGCTGTCCTCTCTATTGTATCGTTTACCATAACATAAATAGGTAATTTATCTCTAAACTTCCTTTTGAAGAAAAGTTCTGATGAGGTTCTTCCAGTAACAGAATGTGTTGTACATGGTTAAATATTCCAGTAAACTTTCCTTCCAGTCTTTATTTTCAGCTATACTTATTTTAAGACGTTTAAGTATGACACAGTTTTGTCTTTCGACCTCTCCGCTTTGTCGCAGCCAATACGGTACTGTATTGAAAAGAATAATGTTTATTTCTGTTAGAAATGATTTAACCTCTTCGCTGAGTAACTGTCTTCTATTATCTGCAGTTATTGATTTCCTAATCCACTGAATATTCCTTTAAGTTTGGCTACAATTTCAGTAGAGGTAATTTTGCGACAAATCTTCACTTCTTTATAATATGTGGTCACCACTTGTAATGAATTGCGATATCAATCCAAAGCACTTCTGGAAACTCACGCCGTTTTATAGGGTTTGGTGGACATGGTGCAGATACTAGAGTACATCCTTTACAGGCTTTAACAATTTTATCAGCCTCTGTCGCATCTAGGCCACCAGACTTTCGTACGAAGTCTCGCCTTCATTGACACGATACCGGGATGTCCCTCGTGAGCTGCATCCAAAACTATTTTACGGAGTGCCGAGGGAACCACAATTCCCATTCCTCTCAATAATATACCCTCATGAAAACAAAGTTTATTTTGTAACATTTTATACAACTTCACGTCGTCGTTCCATATGTTCCGATATAAACCCTCTTTCACGTTTAATATTTTCCTATCGTCCATTGTGCTATCTATTATTTCTTTAATAGAAACATCACGAGGTCGGGCAAACTCTACAATATGACAAATGTGATTGTCTTCCAATTTTATCAGGGATTTCTCCGCATTTTTGCTTATTTGTTGTCTCGACAATGAGTCGGCGATATTGGTTTTCCCTGGTTGGTAAACTATTTTATAGTCGTACGATTGTAAGCGCATAACCCATCTCTCTATCTCTGCACATGGTTTAGATTTAGGACCAAATATTACCTCCAACGGCTTGTGATCTCTTATAAGTTCAAATCTTTTACAATAAAGGAATATGTGGAAATGTTCCACCGCCCACACGCGAATTAACGCTTCTTTTTCTGTCTGGTAATAGCGGCGTTCACAGTCAGTCAGAGTTTTGTGGCCATATGCAATAATCCTGGGCTCACCTTTGGAATTAGTTTAAACTAAAACTCCACCTAAATCCACAGGACTAGCATCTGCTATGACAATCGTACGATCGCTAAGTGCTAACATTATAATACCCTAAGCTAGGAATATTTGTCATGATTTCCTTCAACGACTTAAAATACCCCTTTTGTTCTGGTCCCCAGTTTTCGGTTACATGATATGCCAAACATGACTCTCTTGTATCTTAATAAGCCTTTACTGGTTATAAAGGTGGTTGTTTCTTGAAGCAGGATCTATTTCAAGTTGGTGAAATGCGACTTTAATATCCAATATTGTAAATACTTTTGCATTTTTCATTTTAGGTAGCAACTTGTCCATCGTCGGCAATGGGTAATTTTCTCGTACAATGGCTCCATTTCCTTTCAGCACCAGCACTACAGGGGACACCCATTTAGAAGAACCCACTATCGGCTCTATAATATCCCTATGTTTAAGTTCTTCTTCCTGTCGAAACGACTTTTCTTTTAAATTTACTATCCATCCTGTTTACTTCTTGATTCTCATTTGATTTCTGTGGGTTTTTAAACTCGTCTAATTGTTTATTAACAACTTCAAGAGTATTTGCTTCGGTGATTACTTGCTCTAATGTAATTTCATCCCCAATCTGTGATATCGTTTTTCTCAGTTCGGGTAGAAAACATTTTTTCGTTATTTGGTCGATAATGTTTTCATCTCTGTCAGCAAACTGACATTTATCAGCTTGTTTTCCCAGTCTCACCACAAATTTAAATTTTTTCGTTAGGTTCTTGTTTAACGAGTCTGTCTCTCGTATACTTTGTTCTGATTTGGTGCAAAGTAGGCATCAAGTTTAGATATTGCTACTTCAAACACGTCTTTGCCTTCAGTTGGTTCGACATTAGCTCCAGGAATGTTGTAAAACACTTCCTGTAAGTCTAGCGCACCGAAATGTACGAGAGATGCCTTTTTCTTTACGTCTTCGTCAATGTTAGACGCTTCGAGGTAAATGAATAGTGCTCGTTTCCATCGCTCCTATCGTGCACCCATTGAGGTAGATTTACCGTTACAGTCGAACTTTTCCAGTGAAAGGAGTGACATCTTTGGGGCGACCAGGAATTATCAATTTAATGATTCAGATATCTATGTATCTGCAGTTAGATTTGATCTCAGATGCTTCCATCTCGTATCAATTTAATGATCGGATTATATTTTTATCCGCATAAATCTACTTAAGCTGTCCATACCAACAAACGTATAAATTGAATAATCAGATTTTTAATCTGCTAAGTTAGTACTCACTAACGTACAATAATAATTTTATTGTAAAGCTTTTATTTTATTTATTGGTATCAATTTAATGGTCAGAATTTTAATCTGCTTTTATTTTTATTTACTGATATCAATTTAATGATCAGACTTTTAATCTGCTTTTGTTTTTATTTACTGGTATCAATTTAATGATCAGACTTTTAATCTGCTTTTGTTTTTATTTACTGGTATCAATTTAATGATCAGACTTTTAGTCTGCTTTTATTTTTATTTACAGATATCAATTGAATGATCAGACTTTTAGTCTGCTTTTATTTTGATTTACAGGTATCAATTTAATGATCAGACTTTTAGTCTGCTTTTATTTTTATTTAAAGGTATCAATTTAATGATCAGACTTTTAGTCTGCTTTTATTTCTATTTACTGGCATCAATTTAATGATCAGACTTTTAGTCTGCTTTTATTTTTATTTACTGGCATCAATTTAATGATCAGACTTTTAGTCTGCTTTTGTTTTTATTTACTGGTATCAATTTAATGATCAGACTTTTAATCTGCTTGTATTTTTATTTACTGGTATCAATTTAATGATCAGACTTTTAGTCTGCTTTTATTTTTATTTACAGGTATCAATTTAATGATCAGACTTTTAGTCTGCTTTTATTTTTATTTACAGATATCAATTTAATGATCAGACTTTTAGTCTGCTTTTATTTTTATTTACTGGTATCAATTTAATGATCAGACTTTTAGTCTGCTTTTATTTTTATTTACTGGCATCAATTTAATGATCAGACTTTTAGTCTGCTTTTATTTTTATTTACTGGCATCAATTTAATGATCAGACTTTTAGTCTGCTTTTGTTTTTTTTACTGGTATCAATTTAATGATCAGACTTTTAATCTTCTTGTATTTTTATTTACTGGTATCAATTTAATGATCAGACTTTTAGTCTGCTTTTATTTTAATTTACAGGTATCAATTTAATGATCAGACTTTTAGTCTGCTTTTATTTTTATTTACAGATATCAATTTAATGATCAGACTTTTTGTCTGCTTTTATTTTTATTTACTGGTATCAATTTAATGATCAGTTGGGTTCCAACTGCTTTCAGTAGATACTCCCATTTGTTTTACAGTATTAATCACAACCACATAGTTTAATTAATTTAGTGAACCAGATCCAATTTAGGGTCTTTGTTAAATCTACGTTAGTTAGGTAGACAGGTACCTACCGATTTAACGGTCAACGGTTGTAAATAAACCTTGCTATTATTTTTATTATTATTTTTGTAGACAAATAGAAACATCACTAAACACAAGCATAATCTTAATATATATAAATCTCGTGTCACAATGTTTGTCCTCAATGGACTCCTAAACTACCGAACCGATATCAATCAAATTTGCACACCGTGTGTAGTTTGATCCAACTTAAAAGATAGGATACATCTCAATTTAAACCTGCAATATAATTTTATTGCAAAATATTTGTTTCTTATTTAATAGCCACCATTCTAACAGATGGCGCTGTGTTAAAAGTACCAACGTTTCGTAAATTCTTTCAACGTTTCTATAATTTAATGGCATAACCACCATAAAGCATGGTGGTCCCCACGATTGGTGTACTCCTACCGTTTCCCTTGAATAGTTTACTACTTTGTAATATAACAAAATCCTTAGCCACAGCAACGCTTTGCCGGTCTACTAGTACAATATATTTCTATCACTATGTAGGTAGGTGCTACAAAACAATCGTACATTCAATGTAGATACCCGTAGTTTAGCTTAGCTGAACCTATAGGTAATTATTTGTTTATATCCTTAGCTCAGTAATTGCAGAGGTTTGTTGCTTACTGTTTAAATGTAGGTACGACAATATTAAATATTGTAATACAAGCAAAACATTTATGAAATATGAAAACAATAAGTACCTAAGTACTGTTCATATTTCCCGTCAACAATAAAATTATCTACATTCGTTCAGAAGTCAAGATGCAACTGTTTCTGCTATCAATAGCTAATGATTAAAACAACCGGGTCATAGTAAATTATAGGCAAAGTACTCTGGGAATGACGTCACTAATTGTTTAGTGCACCGTATCTTTCCCTTTTTTTTTTCTTATGTGTACTCACTTTTTCCTCGTCGCCACATGTAATGTCCTGCTTCTTGGAGTGATTTACGGCTCACCAACACCACAACACTTGTACAAACGTCCTACACACAACCGCTCCGTTCGGGTGTCGGATTACGACTGACAGTCTGACAACTGACAAGTGACGTAGGCGCATGAGACAACCAAGTAACACTTTATTTAGTCAATACACTACAGTATGGATAAATAAATGTTGTGTGCTTCGTTTACGATACATTTAATAACGCAGTCAGCCCTGGTACTCTGTATCGAATAGAGTTTTAGCTTTCTACCTACAGTATGATAGCTTTTACGTGAAATTGGAACATATTATAAATAATTCGAGAGTTTCTAATTTATATCAAAGCTTATATAAATTAAAAACTTGTTATAAACTGTACAGTATTTCAAATTTGGAATCAAACAGTCACTGTGCAAATGGATTATAGTTATACTAGTGGACCCCACAGACGTTGTCCTGCACGATATTTAAAGCGATTAGGATATTAAGCAAAGTATGAAAGTACCGACTGCAGTGCCATCTGCCGGGCTGATTTGTGAATCTAAACCATTCCCAGATCCCCTTGAACACACACAAAAAATTTCATCAAAATCGGTCCAGTCGTTTGAGAGAAGTTCAGTGACATACACACTCACAGAAGAATTATATATATATAAATATTAATAACCTTACAAATTTTCCAAGATACCCGCGATTTTATCAGTTAAAATTAGACTCAATCTCTCACTCCTAGCAGACACTCAACAAAGATAACATTCGTGAAACAGTTTAAGCTATTAAGACCATATAATTGTGAACCTTCTTTAAATTTTATAAGTCAACTAATTATTAGTAAATAAATATTCGATAAATCAATAATGAATGTATTACAACATATACTTACGGAGAACAGGCCATCCTCTCCCCCCGAGCAACCGGTCCGTGATCGTCATATATCACCAATGACTTCTTCATGATGGAGTACTTTCCCGCCAGACCTACCACGGTGTCCGTGAAGAGTCTCCGAGTTAACTTCTCACTGTCTCTCTTTCTACCAGCCACGGATAACACGCCGTGTCTGAAAAGTACAAGTTTATTCGAAAAGTAACTTACCGTAAAAATCTTATAGCGTTGTTTTATTTGTGTAAAACGGCCTATATTAAAGGCACACTAGAACCTCATCCAAAAAGTACGTACCACGTTGAGGGAGGTCGTCAACAAAGTCTGATATTGTATTACAAGGGGAAGAAAGGGTATTGCGGTTGTTGGGTTCATATTGCGTGATGACACATTACACTATAAGCCGTTCAATTAACAACCCAGCCTTTTAACTAAACGGCGCCGTTTAACTAGCGGCCTGAAAGATCCGTAGCGTTTGTTACAAAATTAAAGAAACTGGCTGGCTAATGCTTAGGCCATTCGTACGATAGAGTCATTATTTGGCAGAAATAAAAAAGATAAAACACAATTGCTTGAGTCAAATTCACATTATTATTGTCACTACACTCTTCCATTGTACTCGGCGTTTTTCATGTAACTTTGGAAAACACCATCAAAGTTGTGGTTGGCCGACGCCATATTGACGGTTTGAAGAGTTTCGTTTCGAGTTTGAGCGTGGTAGAAAGTGGAATTAAATTTAAAATAACAGTCAACAGGCTAGGCAAGTAATGAAACGTCATCGATCCAAGTCATTTGCCTTACTGTTTGATCAACTGGCTGAACATCTTTCAGGCCGCTAGTTAAACGGCTAGGCTGTTAATTGAACGGCTAATTAAGCTAGTTGGCTGCACGTCGCAAGTAGTATTAAAATTTAAACGAATAGCTTTAAAATATTTATAATTCAATCTGTAGAAGGTCTAAATTGTTTTATTAGTTTACACTCGTTCTACTAGTGTCACAATTAAAAACAATAAGTTACACAAGGGTGATCTATCGAGGACAAGGACGGGGTATGGTTCAACAAATCATGGGCCTTTGACGTATCCCCTTTATGTGTCACGTCCCCCCTTAGATATCCAAGGCAACAGGGGCATGTGGGACTCGACCCACACCAGAATCTCTACTATTTAGAGACTGGGCGAATAATACTCAAACCATCTCGGGTAAGAGCTCCGGGGTCGCTCTCGCATTCTACTTAACGAAAATCTTTTTACAAACGCGCCCGCAATATTCACCTGGTATTGAAGTCTCCAATTCTGCACAATCCTTCCATACCCACTTTGCAGTATTGCTCTGGATGTCGTGAGTCTGTGTCCACTCCATGAGGGTCATACATTTTACCGGCACTCAGGCACCGTGCGGTCCAGTTATAATAATCAGCTCCCGGGGGAAACTGGTGTATAGCCCATCGGTGTTCGTGGGTGTTATTTACGTTAGAACCGTCGGAATGTATCTGTAGATAATGTTTTTTTACAATATACCTTTCTAACTTGAAGTATGTATTTAAAGGTCGAGAATAGGTACAAAGTATGAGAGATTAGAAGATATTAAATACTTCAAAATTTTCATTTATTGCCAGTTCTGAACTGGTAATCAACCCCGCGCCACTCTTTTTAATCATCAAGGTTTTTTATTCCACAAAATGTTTTCAATGAGCGACCAGTACATTATCCACATATCATCTTAAAGCAATTAATTTCAATAATAGTAAGAGACTAGATTCAAAGTTACAAGCCAAAATTGCGATGAAAGGTAGATTTTCCTACACAAAGTGCTAAAATGTAAAAATAAGGATTAAGTTTAAATATAACATAACATGCCTTTTTTCGCATCAGCATAACAAAATGAAAGAAAGAGACGAATTAATTTGTATTTTAGTAATTTAGCGTTACATATTATAACGATCCAAAAAGGTCTGTAACAGTTAAATTACGACCTTCTTCAAGTACTGCCTAAGGCAAAATGCGGTGCGAGGTGCGGGCGATACAACGCAGAAAAGGAGGGTAGACTTGTGGATGAAAATTAATTTACCCATGTAGCTTTGAAATTATCGAACAGCATGTATTTGCTTGTACTACAACTACGTACCTGTTCAAATAGATTTTAAAAACTAAAACATAAATTACTTACCATATTCTCAATGATAATAGTGGTGTCTTCCCATGGCCTTTCAAGTGGCTGTCTAAAGATAACTCTGCTGACTACAGGATACCGATAAACTGCTTCAGCAGAACTCATCTGGGTCTGGTAGTCAGTACCGTATTCATACGAATGGATTGTTCCACAGAGCTCTCGTTTCGGTGGTCGCCTGTAATGGTTTACAGACTATAACAACTTGTATTTTGTAATATATCACGGAAAATTATACATTATTTTTATTTTATACACTAACATTATACATATTACACCAAATATAATTATAATTCAAAAAGGCCGCTTTATTTTGAATTTGCCATATAGTTAGGTATTTTTTATTTAAATAATTCGTGTTTATATCCGTGTCCTAATAATTATGTAATAAACTAAAGTTTGTATGCGATAGAAGTTAAGTTTTATATAAATGTGTAGTACTGACGTCAACCAAGACAATATAGTACTTTCTGATTTTTTTCTTTCCTGGAGGAGAAACCTTGCAAGGTCACCTCACACCTGATGTTATCCTAATTATTATTATTATATTGTTTGAAAAAAATCTATAACATAAAATGTCTATTTATATTCAATAAAGGTAATGAAAAACTTAATCTACATTATTATATACGGGTCATAGATATACAGCTGTTGTAAAAACAAACAATTTAGGTATCATTACTGGAACACGAACAACACATTTCTGTATTAACTAAACTATTTTTTTAGTCCTAATCGAATATACAATGTAAGAGTACAGTATTATATATATTAAAGCAGTGAGTAAACGAATCTTGCCTTTCTACATAATATTATATTGAATTACTATCAAAATCTTCCAGGCAAGTTTCCTTTAACTTGAAAAAAGTCAATAGTGCTAAGAATTTTATTCAATACTAACCTTGTAATGACTACAGATCTATGCATAACACTGTATTTTCCACTTAATGGCAAAAAGACATCCCAGTACGAGCCACTCAGTTCATTCGCCAGGCCCGGGAGTAAATATTTATGATTCAAATACTCCGTTCTGTCTTTGTACTTGCCGAGGAGATCTCCTATTGCGTAGTGGTCCTGTGTGCTCAAACCTAGGTATACATATCGTATTAAAGTTTACTAAAGTAAATGTCGTTACGAAATTATTCGAAATAAAGTGGTCAATATTTTTTGTTGAAGACTCGTGACCCTCTATAGGGGCTTGGGGAAGTCATTTTCTGCCTCTGTATTATTTTTAAGCCAAGAAAGTTATCAGCTTTCTGAGAGAAACATTTTAAGTGAGAATGAACCATGCTATATTACGGCGTGTGCGGAGTCCAGAGTCTCGCTACCATTGAAATGGTCTCATATTTCTATTTCACATATTCATTCTTACTATCACAATCGATTTAATCATTACTATGATGTGTCATCTTGTTCATTTTTAAAACCGACATAATATAATAGATTATACTACACATTACGAAACATTTTTTAGTTCAATAAAAATAACTATCTACTATAATAAAAAATAGGGGTCAATCGTAGAAGGGTGAAAATTTAGGGTGTGTATTTTTTAATGGCATATTATAAATAAATTAAAATTTCGTCCAAAAGAGAAAAATAAAATGTTAGGGGTGGACAACCCTTATCACTTAGGGGTATGAAAAATAGATAGAAGCCGATTCTCAGACCTACTGAATATGCATATAAAATTTGATAAAAATCGGTCGAGCCTTTTCGTAGGAGTATGGTAACTAACATTCTGACACGAGAATTTTTGTATAAGATTTTATATATAGTAAGGAAGGATACTAAACTTTAAGACAAAAATGTCATTATATAAAATTATATATTTTTTCTTAGTTTTTTGTAATTTATGGTCTCTTTTTGTCATTTTTCATTTATATAAGTTATTAAAAAAGTATTACGTTTGTGCGTGCCGTCCGCACATATCAAGAACACAGGTCAGTTCTAGTATATGTAAGTTGTTTCTTTTTTTCTTCTTATGAGTGATATTATAACTCTATTAACACTAAATGAAGGGATTCACGGCTGCAACTATAAAGTTTAGGCATTAATAATATTTGTATGAATGTTTTTACGTTATTTGGTTACGTGCGAAACTGATTTCTAATAAATAGTTGACAAGAGTAAATTTTTCGTTTATGATTTATTTCTCAAACTCTCGATAAAACAACCGCTTAACTTGCAATAATAAAATCTCTTGTATTCGATTTAACTATACAACTCTAATATTTATCTATATCTATCCTAATATTATAATCAATTTTGGCCAAAAAATGCGGAAATGCGACGAGAACTTGGAGAAACTAATCGTCGTTGGTAACACAGAAGGCAAAAGATCACGTGGCCTTTCACCAACCAGATGGACCGTTCAAGTGCAAGACTCATCGTCCTCAAAACTGTACCCTGTCAAGAGAGACGCGCTGAACCGAAACCGGTGGAAACAGATAGGTCCAGACGCTTTCTTGCTAACCACGACGCTCAGACATGAGCTCCCGATTAAAGAGAGAGAGATCCTATTATAAACAGTTTACATCGGTTTTTTTAGTCATAGCGATCCTATGATCTTCAATCTCATTCACTCAATCCTTCTTACAATCACATTAAAAAAAATCTGTTCCATTTTTAAATTTTCTTTAACCTTGTCCTGACGATAACGAACACATGTAACAAGGATCATCAAAACCAGAAACTGCTGCATATTAAAACTATTTTTACGTTAGCGTGTATTATACTGAAATTCATGGTACTCGTATTTAATATACCTACCTACAACGCGGCAACTGATCTATATTTACAATGAATGTCGGTCACTCTGGTCGCTCGCCAGAACACGTCACAAATACAATCGAACACTTTGGTATTTGGATGTTGTTGCAAACATTCCTTAACTACATTATTAAGATTTCTATATCTAGATATAACTTAATAGTAGTAAGTAGTAATATTGATTAATAATTGATGATTTAAAAGCGATATTAGCTAACGCATTAATTGTATATTGTATACAGAAAGGGTGGTGGGATTAAATTACTGTATTTAAAGAAAAAAAGAGTATTTATTACCTGGTGGTGGGGTATTCTTCAAATCAACATCATTTGGGTTGTACATTCCACCCGTGGTATTACACATTGTCTCCCAATATTTGGCCTCATAAAGCCGCGGAGGTAGCTCTCTTATACTGCAAATTAATGTTTATTAAAATTATATAATGCTTTTCATTCTTGTCAGTGAACACACAATTATACAGTATTTAGAATATTCTTAATACAGTAATAATGATCAAAAACGAATACATATAAAAAAATAATGAAAAGGTTTGGTCCCTCTGCCAGTATACCTTTAATGCTGGCAGCATTTCCTCGCTATATTGCGATACTTATTCATAATTAAATTGTTATATGTTATGTCATTAAGGGAAATATAGCACGAAGCTAATAAAAATGAAAATAAAATGTGAAATATTTAAAAATAGCATAAACAAAAACGTCAATTTGAGTCTGTGGAGGAAGGACGCTGTGTGCTTCCTCTAACCTAAAGGGAGGATCCTCCAGTCTAACCATTGACTGGCCTGAAGTCAGTGGCTTAGGTCAAGAAGTTCTATATATAGGCTGAGATAACTTCAGCGTATGACGTCACCGCAGTGATTTATAGCCATCGAAAGTGTCCCTACAAGTCAATGTAAAATTTTGAGTGTCTAATACGTTTTGATGTCTCAACATGGTTTGAAATTTTAAATTCACATATGGTACAAATAAAATTATTAAATACTGATGCGGTAACGTTTAAATATTACCTGTATTGTGTAATAGAACCAACAAATCGAAGATTTCCTTCATAGTCCAAGTCCGAAGCACCAAGTTGAAAATTAGCCCATGTTGGATCATATGGTGAACGTTGGGTGAATTCAATTGAACCCCGGATTCCATCCATATTGATTAGAGATCTGAAAATCGAATAAGGTAGAAGTGCGATCACATTTGAAAAATTACATAACGAAAATATTCAACGTTGTTGCCACGCCTAAAAGTCATCCCAATTCCGTCCAATCTATTACGTCACAATTTCAACCGAAAATTTCGGGGACCTTAATTCTCAAAGGAGGTCGTAGGTTCGACCCCAGGCTGTGGACTTCCCACATATGTGCCTCGTACGGTGAAGGAAAACATCATAAAGCATGCCCTAAACTCAAAAAATCAACTGTGTGTATCAGGCGTAGAAAGAAGGCTAATGGCCTATTAGAACATAAGCAGATGATGATGAAAACTCAGATTAAAAGGGCCAGGCCTTTAAAGGTTGTAGCGGCACTAGTTCTTCTTCAATTGTGAAATTTGAGTACTTGTCATTACATTATGATAATTATAATAACTAATATACGCTTCATAGAAGCAATTAACCCTTTTTAATTAGGATTACTAGGTTGTTTAATTACCAATCTAAATGTTTATTAACGTATAATGTATATAAAATGTAATTATTTTACTACTCATTACTTCTTTCCCTCTTATATTTAACTTATGTTTACAAAATTACCTTTTAATTGAATAGTGAGTGCTGTAATTACAAATACTTACTTCGTGCTCTTCGGCAACATCAGCCGTAGCTTAGCGCATGCCAAAAAACTATCCGAATGCTTACTATCATAAATCACCACATACAAACTCCTTTTCGTAACTTCCATATCATTTCTCAATATATTCAAAACTTCGTCCTTATAAAGCTTTCTGGTTTTCTGTACGTTGGGATCGGATGCTACCTTAATCAACCCTAAACGACTGTCTAAATCTCCTACAGTCATACCGTCCCCATTGTTCTCCGGATCAAATACAGCTTGAAGAACATTACAATTGTCCTCATGATTACCCTTATCTGCATCAAAGATATCCGTCACGAATAACTTCCACTTATGCTGAGTAAAGTCTTTTTCTTGTACAGCCTTTGTATGATACAAATCGGCTTGTATATAGGAATCTGCTTCATCGTACTCCTTAGAAGAGATCCATCTAAAGTGCAGCGTCCCAGCGATTGGTGCTGTGAACTTTGCGAAAGCGTGCTGCTCATGCTGATATTCTGTCGAGAATATTGATGCACAAATTACTCTGTCTCTTTCAGCTGTTTCTAAGACGATACTCTTTCCCCATAAGCCGTTGGGACCTATGAGAGAGTTTTTGCTCTCGAACTCTGCGTGATCTTTACCAGGAATTACTAGGTAGCCCAGTTCGTCAGTCAAATCTATTAATTCTCTTCCTAAATTCTCTTCGGAACATCTGTCATTAGAAATATCTCTGTAATCAACCGGAAATTCGTGTATCGTCCATCGCCACACTCCATCAGGATACTGTAGAGTTGGTTTCAAGTTGGTTCTAATACTGACAAGTGTTTCGTTTTTCTGAGAGAATTCGATTTCTCCGTGAAGGCCATGTTGTGAAATATATGCACGAAGTACAAAAGCGTTTATTCCTAAAACATGATCATGGTTATGAACTCAATTTAGTAGCCTGGTAGTTGTATAAGTCCGATATTGACAAACAAAATACTATTTGGAATATTTCTGATCGACAAATGATAAATTTAATACAAAGTGACAAGGAGATATTTAGTAGGTTCCCGTAAAATGTATTCGGTAATTTTGTACCCGATTATTGTTGGAACCCGACAAATTTACATTTGTATTATATATTGTATTATTAAGTATATTTTCATTATAAAACTAAATAACTATACTTATTATGAAACTTATTTCTTATTATAATTGTAAAAGTAAAACGCTGCTGATTCATTCAAAACTTGCTAAACAAAATAATAAAATTTCGTAGGTTCGGATCTAAAAGTAACACATAATTTATAACTTTTACTTTTACCTCCTTTACCAACAAATCGGCGAATTCGATTTATTCAATTATTAATATAATAAAACTCAGTAAGTACTAAAAAGGGAACTCGAAAGAAATCTTAGCTTCCGCATACGTATGAACCAAAATCCTTGTAAAATTTTCCCAAATAACTTAAAACTTCCTAGAAACTTACCATTTAAACATAAACAAACACACAAAAACTTTGGTATGAAACGACTTAAATTGGACATTTTAATTCAAGTCAACATCTTATAACTCTAAGCATTTTCACTGTCTCTTCAACACTAAGTGAAAGGCAGTATTACCAGTTGTAACTTAATAAGTGAGAGGTGTAGTCAGAGAGAGATGAAGAATGTGACGTCATAGTAGTAAACGTAGTACGCATGTTAATGTTTGTTAGAATGGAACGCGAAAAATGCGTATGCGCAGGCTACTTGGAAATCTGTTTTCATTATATTACCGAAGTATAGGATCTAAAATCAACTTGACAATAAATTCTCATTGTTGCTATTAGACAATAAAACTTTTATTAAGTCTCAATATACAAATCGGCCAAAATGAAGAATGATGGCCAAAATTGCAAGAATTTAGTTTCGCCCAACTGAGCTTTGAAATATAAAATAAGTAGATTTATCATAACTTGTTTAAATATATTAGGAGCGTGTTCTGTGATGTGTTTAATTCTCAACCATCTAATCGTGATAATGACCCCGGCAGAAAACCAATGGTCCTTTTTGATGCGATATTTTATCATCAATTCAAAAAATACGTTACATATGTAGGCAACGGGCGGCCTTGTCACCGCTAACAATCGATTTCTATCAGGCAAGTATGGAAAAATAAAACATACCTACTAAGGGTATAAGAAGTGTATAATAAACAATTACAAAGAAATCATAAAATTACATAAAACTCTAGAAATATACCTAAAACTAAACTAAGTACAAAAATTAAAAAACGCTAAAGATTTTATCAGGTTGTCATTTGTCAACGAAAGAATAGTCCAAAGGTTGGCCTTAGATAGTGAAGAAACCGTCGGGTAGAAATGGGTTATAGCTGCAAACTATTTCAGAGGCGCTTATTATGGTCTGGTCTTCTTCAAGTCCTAATGACACTGCTGCTATTTCCTTGTCCCAAGTACTACTTCCTCAAAGCCTTGCAAAGAGCTTGTTTTACTGAGAATCACTCGTCCTATTGATCCGTTACATTGGGCATGGCATAACCAGCTTCGTTTTTGAATTTCCATTATTTTCATTAGTGTCGTAGATAAGATTCAAATTCGGCTTTGGTTAGTCATGAGTCATGACTCATGACAATATCGGGAACGACTCGTGAAAACCATGTTTCGTAAATTATTCTTGCTAATTCAGCTGTAATTGTATGTATAGGGACTAAATATCGGTTGATAATGTTAATAGATTTTTTCCTTTTGTAAATGTTTGAACCTTTTTGTAAATATTATGTATTCTATCTTTGGCTATATGTCCTTTTTGTTATATATTTTTTTCGTTCGCTGTAGTTCGAAATAAATTAATAAATAATCTAATATATAAAATTCTCGTGTCACAGTTTTCGTTGCCATACTCCTCCAAAACGGCTCGACCGATTCTCATGAAATTTTGTGTGCATATTGGGTATGTCTGAGAATCGGACAACATCTATTTTTCATCCCCCTAAATGTTAAGGGTAGTCCACCCCTAAATATTTTTTTCTGTTTTTATTTTTTTATGATACAACATTAAAAAATACATACAAATCCCAAACTTTAACCCCTCTACGATCAACCCCTATTTTTTATTATAAATGATATATATGGCAAAACGACGTTTGCCCGGTCAGCTAGTTTTATTATAAAGAAGTACAGTCTGAAAGACATAATAGAGAACAAATGGAGCGTACTATTTTTATCACGATATGCTGGGCGGACCGTGTTAATTTTAACTCTAGTATTAGTCACCAAGGTGCGTATTATATTTGTAATCTACTCTCACAGAAAATCTCCAATACCTATTATATGGATATATTAAAATACTTAGAACGTTTCTGTCTGTGTGACGCAATAAGTGTGTAACGATGAAGGTTGGTCACGGTATTATGGCTTTGAAGCCCCCTAAGGGTCGTTATTGACACACAGGTCTTACTATAAGTTTACCATACATCCGATCATATGTCACCTCCAGAAATCGGTGGAAGGCTGAAGGCTGAAGAGGCCACTTTGATAAAACTTCAACATTTTTTCAAAGATATTATAGGTATACCTATAATATTCGATAATAGCTAGTTCCCGATAAATTTGTGTACAAACGTGTATGTATGGTAAATTTTATACAGGCTTATATCATCTGGTCAGTCTGATAAATTCTTTTAAGTCGATTAAATTTATGAAATATATCTACTTAAAATTATTTTTACATCAGATATGCAAAAGTAATCTATAAAAAAGTCTAATTAAAGATATTATAGATGCAGAATCTTGCTCTGAAAGGATTACACTTCATTATGATATGTATCCATAAATTACTTGAAGTAAATCTTCATTAAACTAACAATAAAAATAAAAACCTTAAGAACGTCCTATTCGACTTTTTAAGCCTAATTTAAGAATAAAGCCGAGCAGTGTTGGCCTATTGGCTACAGCTTGCGACTCTCATCCTTGAGGTCGTAGGTTCGAACCCCGGCTGTGCTTTCTATCTATGTGCGCTTTTAACATTCGATCGAACGGTGAAGCAAAACATCGTAAGGAAACCGGCCTGCCTTAGACCCAAAAAGTCGACGGCGTGTGTCAGATACAGGAGACTGATCACCTACTTGCCAAATGATCATGAAACAGAAATCTGAAGCCCAGACCTAAAAAGGGTGTAGCGACACTTATTTTAATTTAAGAAAAAAAATCCTTCCAAAAATTAAAAGAAATACCTATAGTTATGTAAAATAAAATAAATATAAAAACTGTTAAAATATTAATATTGTTTTCACGCATGTAAATGATAAAAATAAAAAACTTTTAATTGCTTTAACGCACAAATAAGAGGTAATTAGCACAGCTGTGCTAAAAAGATCTATTACAAATACAATCGAATTTCGATAATTATTTTCGTAGTCGCGGCTGCCTGGATCAGCTCACGGACGCTTTCTGATACTCCTATACCTCTGATTTGGCGAACTATATATGGAATGGAGTATTGGCCGGGAACGGATTCCCGGGGGAAGTGGGGAGGGAAAAGCTTGGTAGTTGAAACGGGAGCAACATCTCGGAGTCAGGGTGGGACTACCGAACGGTACAGTCTCTCTTCCGTCGATCAACAAACTCAACACAATGGTAAGTTTAGTGAATTGTGAAGTGATAGTGAAGTGACGTTTGACAATATTTTTATTACACCAATACTTGGAGTTCAATGAGATAACGGATCGATCTAAGTTAAATTTAAATAAAACAACAACAATTATTCAACTTCTAAAGACCTGAAACTAAGCTTTTTACTTTTTTTCCAAAGTATAAAAAATATTGATGGTTAAAAAGAAAAAAAAAAGAAAATAAATTACAAAATATAATTTATTTATTTTTAAATACTAAGGAATCACAATGAATAAACATATTTTTTAGAGATTTTAAATACTTACCTACAATAATTGTTCTGAAATAGTGTAAATAATTATAAAAGTTGAAAAAGTAAATGAAAGTGATCTCGTATCTCGTGTATTTCAAGATAAATCTGGTCTTCTAAGAGGATTCTATTTCCGTATAATTTACGTAACGAAATGAGATGGGCGCGTAAGCTGAGCTGTCCTAAAAATAAAGGCGCCTGCCAAAACGGGAAGCGACTAGTACATCTAATATTTATCGAATTATAATGAATTAAAACTTAAATAAGGATCAAAAAGAATTTAAACGGTAAATTTAATCGTTTGTGGGTGATGATACCTACCTGTGACAAAATTTCTTAAATAAACTTTAATGTTTCAATAGTTCAGGCGTTGCTTTGCTTTAATGTTTCAGGCGGATAAGGAAAAGAAGATCAAGAAGAAGAAGGCGAAAGAAGAAGCACCCGCTGAGGAGGCAGCAGCCCCCGCTGAAAGACAATCTTCCCGTGGCAGCCGTAAGGCTAAGCGCACTGGTTCCAATGTCTTCTCTATGTTCACACAGAAGCAGGTCGCTGAGTTCAAAGAGGTAACTATTATTGATGATATGATTAGGGTATTTCTCATTATTGTATAATACTGACTTATCTAGGACATAAACGTCCAACATTTTAAATCATATAATAACTATAAAGATTTTCGTGGAAACGTAACAATTGAACATACTCGTACGTCATCTGAATTATAATCAAAATGATTATTTGATGCGTGCGTCTTGTTTTGTCAACAAATCTATGCTGTTTTGCATAATAAAATAATTTAACTGTATAACTATTTCTCTTCCACAGGCCTTCCAGCTAATGGACCACGACAAGGACGGTATCATCGGTAAGAGCGATCTCCGCGCCACCTTCGACTCCCTCGGCAGACTGGCCTCCGAGAAGGAATTGGATGAGATGGTCGGTGAGGCTTCCGGCCCCATCAACTTCACCCAGCTCCTCACACTCTTCGCGAACCGCATGTCCGGAGGATCAGACGATGACGACGTTGTCATCAACGCCTTCAAAACCTTCGACAAGGACGGCAGAATCGACTCAGAGAAACTCAGGCACGCACTCATGACCTGGGGCGACAAGTTCTCCGGTGACGAAGTCGATGAGGCGTACGACCAGATGGAAATCGACGACAAAGGTTTCATTGACACCCAGAAGCTTATCACCATGCTGACCGCTAGCGCTGAGGATGAGGAAGGCGGTGAAGCCGCGTAAATTGATTCCACTACGAAGAGGTTGACCACCCGACCGAAGGTCCGCACGGATTAAACGCGTTGCGAACCGAATTATTTTTTATTTATTACTCTATGTTACATTGTTTCCATTTTATAATTTATATATAATGAAAATATAGTTCTACTATACGAATGGCGTGTACAAGTTACAACTGTCCCTATCACGGGTTTGTGAAAGCAAACGACGGGAGACGAGGGAACGGAATACTATGTATTCATTAATGTTTTGTTTCAAATAAAGTATCAAGTCTGACTAAATTAAGGTATAGCCAAATTGATAGCAACCTTGTCTTTATTCACCACACACCCACATAACACAAAAAATTAGGATACAATACATAAGATAGCTAAATAATTTTAAAGTTCGGAATTAATAATATGACTGACTGATCTCCCTTAACTTCCCAATGGGGCACGGAAATAACACATTCTTACGTCTAAAATCTAAATATACATTCTTACAATGACAAACCAATATAGCAGTGTAAAGTATATCATTAAAATATATTTAACTCTCAAGCAATATGTTAGCAGCAGTAAAAACAGACAAGCGTACCTACGTACGTACATTGACTACCAGGAAGAGATAGCATAGTGCCTTCCAACAACAAAAACTTCACTTACTACTTACTACCTATTATCTCACCATATTACAAACAAATTGCCATGGGTACTGCTGACTTACGCAAATTTTAGATTCTAAACTATGATATATATTTTGTAGTATCCTGCCCATAAAACAACGGAATTAAGGTACAGTGTTGGTACCTGTGGTATAGGATGAGGGCACATGTAAATTTTATTTTATTGAGCTACAAAGGCACGTTTTCATGTTCAATAGGTGTGAGATACGAAATACGTTAGGTGTCTAAAAACACTACCGAACAACCATAACGATTAATTTATTCAAAAAAAACTAAAAAGTATTCTTTGATTTTCAAATGGTAGATGAATTTGTAATGGACCGTTAAGGCTTTTCATTAAACAATTCCACTATTTCAAAATGATGATGATATATTAATTTATCCCTAATGGGAAAGGCAAAGGATATTTCAAAATGAGCGCAATACGACAATTGATAGATTTCTTTGCAGCAATGTCAGTTGTCATCTATGATTTTAACCGTCAAATAATAAATCATAATATTATAATAGTGAAACTCCATATACCTTTATAGTTTATATATATTTAAAAAAACAGCTGATTGATTGTTATTGCCTACAACTTATGGGCGTTTCTAAATTATGATTTTAGTAAAAAATGTCTAAATATAATTCGTAAAAGTACTCACTTTTAATTATCTTATGATGACGACTGAGGCAGCTGAAAACGTAACAAAAACATTTAAATTTTCATTTCCTACGTGTACAAATGAAGAGGTTCTTTTTAAATTGGAGGTACCTGTGGATATTCCTTACGAAGGATCCTCACGTGAGCTGGTCCAACGAGTGTTAAAAATGTTTCATATTCCTGTATACTTGGAAGACGGTATGTATAACAATCTTCGTATTAATACATTATGGAAACTTAAAATCACTTTAGAATGTCATGCTATGCTGTTTATATATTTCCTACTGATAGTAGAAACCTATAAAGCTCTATAGAAACAACTGTATTAATAATTGTTTTATAAATGGTTAAATATATCACTCTACTACCATACAAAAATCTTCCATGCAGGTTTGACAAAATTTTCTTAAAAGAGAGAGAGCTGATGCATTCAGTAAGACATCAAAATGTATAAATTAAGTAATTGGTTTGTAGGTTTCACCATACATGAAACTTGCTTTCATAATAAATTAAGGGTAAATATTATTAACAATTTTCAGAGTTAAATGAAAAGTTAGCAGAATTTATTGCTGAGGAAACTAAAAACTATCACAATGAAAGAGATGAAAAATTACTAAACCAATTGAAAAATGGAGAGCTAAATATTGAGGGAATTATCAAAGGATGGGAGAAAAATTTCAAAGAGAATGTACTAGAATTTGCTGAACAGAAGGGCTCTTCCGATGAAGAAGTATTTGCAACAGCCTATCACAAATTAGTCCATTCTCCAGCATTAGAAACAATATTACAAGTGGAGAGCTCCTATGCTAAGACAGTTATGAATATGATTAAAAACCGTGATAAGGATATCAGAAAGCTTACTGAAAGGTATTTAAATTTTGCATGCAATATTTTATATTTATGATACATACTTACTTCAATAGATAAAAATAAAAATCTCATCTAACATACCCTGTAATTACCTACTGTTTAATGTTTATGCCAATTTTTAGCAAAAACATTGCATATATAATATTTACATTTTATTTAGTCAGTTTCATTTTAAAACTACAGGCAAACACAAGAAATGGAAGATAAAATCAGGCTACTTAACATCTCAACAACAGAAGAGGAAATTAATGCTTTAGCTGGAAAGCATTTTGAAGAGCAAAGTGTAGCAGCTGGCCATTGGGAATCCCAACTGGATGCTTTAAGACATGCTCAGAGAGCAGCTCATAGAGCTTGGCTGATGACTGCGTTAGATGACTATCAGCTCAATGAAAATGCTACACCCAGGTATTTTATAATGAAAATTTAGGTATTACAATTACTATACCATTTTTTAATGCAATCTACACTAAACATGTTATAGAGCAGTGTGAGCATAGTGGTTAAGTGTAGAATTATAAATTCTGAGGTTGTACATTCAAATCCCATCAATACAATATTGATATTATTTAGGCAATTAATACTGGCTCACAAATTGAAGGGAAACATGTTGAAGATGCAGAAATATTGTATGTATGTTGTAGCACCATGTAATAATATCTTGTACCTTGACTGACTCCGGCAATTTATTTAATTTTAGTTTTTTTACTCAAGTCACCCATTGATAAACCTAAACATATTGAAGACTACCAGGTTTACTTTAAATATAGCTCATGGATATATTATTAATGTATAAATTTACATAAACCAATTAATAAAGTAAAAGTTGTAATTTTTTTTTCAGTAACTCTCCACTATGCACTTTCCCTCCAGATTTACCCGGGCCCATTCAACCGGCTCCACCAAGGCTAGAAGAGAGTTTCACCATACATCTAGGATCACAGCTCAAACAAACACACAATATACGACTTGTCGCTGTTGATGTTTTAGATCTGTGTTCTGTGAATCGGGGAGATAGGTGAGTCTAAATTTTTTTATGGTAATGTTGGAGCAAATTTCCATTTAAAATATATTAATAGATAAATAAGTTTATAATTTTTTTGTTGGTAGGAAAAATTGTTTTTTTTAAAGGGGGTATTTTTATATACTATATATAAGAATCATAAACTGTTTTTTTAATAAGGGGGGGGGGGTTAAAAAAATTGGGCCGGGTCCCCCATGTAAGGTTATTTAGAGGGGGATATTATCTTTGATCAAATATCAGTGTTACTAGTAAATTTGATGAATTTATTCAATTCAATAGAAACATTAAAAAAACAACGTCAAAGATAATTGCTATGGAAATAAAAAAAAATATTTTATTACCCCACAGCGGTACATGGAACCGCGCCCAACCAGCTCTAGGCTTATACTCAAACGACCTGTCAGCTGTAGTACTATTGGCCGAGCACGAGCCGTCACGTTCACCTCTCGTTGCCCTCGCGAGGCAGGCCACGGAACATCACTTCGATGACGTTGAGATACAATTACGAGATATCGCTGAAAAAGTTAAAGAACCGGTAAGTGTTAGATTCTTCCTTCCTAGCCTACTAAGTTCAACCTTGTCGGTCAAATCGACAATAATTTTTTTTGCTCATTTAATACTCGTAAAGAAACAGGTTAATAGAAACAAATATAAATACCCTCGATTTTTATCTACTGTTGCACAGGAACCACCTATTTAAAAAAAAAAGGGTGCGTGTACTCATGTACGCGCGTAAGAAGTTATACTTCTTTGGCATTATTAAAAATAGTTTTTGATCGCATGCAAATAATTAATTACAATTAAATAATCAAAGACTGGAAAAGGAGTCATTATAGTCAATAAAGTTCAGTTTACATTTGAAAAATTAAATAAATAAATATTTATTATTATTCTCTTACATTAAGTGTAACATAAATTCTATTATTATTCGAATGTTGTTTTGAAATTATGTCCAATGCCGTAGCATCTTCCGTGGGCAACTTCATTCTGTTAATTTTGTGTCACGGTGCGCGCGCATCGTAAAATTTCACTCTCATAAATTTTTCATAACGCGCCTAAAGAAGTATAACTTCAAAAATAAATTTATAAAGAAACAAATAAGGAATAGGCCTAGAGGTTGTAACGATAATGTTATTTAGCTTAGTCCCACAATGGTTTAAATTTCAGGCAGAAAAGCGTAATTTAGAACGTGTAGCAAGTGATGGGCGAGGGCGAACCGCCCGGGTCAAACGCTCGCTGCAGCCCGGGGACGTGTATCTAAGTAGACACAGCAATTTGGCGGATGCTCATTTAGTCTATCATCTCGTCATTGATGATGAGCAGATGAAAGCTGGTTAGTAACGGCCTAATAACCTGTAGGCCAAAATATCTATGTTTTGTTTATTTATCTTACAAATTACACTAGTGATCTTCTTGCGGTGGTTTCTTAATTACTGAAGGTCGGCAGTCAATCTCCGAAATTACTCCTTGTACATTGCTAATCTTAAGAGTTGTTTCACTGACTTGATTCCCGTCCACCCTTGGATGTTCCGTAGCCAAGACTTTTTCACATTATGGCTTGAACATTCGAATACTGCTGGTTACAGAGGATGTGGCCAAGACATCAGACTTGCTTGATGGTACGGACATATTTTACCTTTTTTTCGCATACACTAAAGGATTTTCATCGTTATTGGTCATCGTTTGTGACTCTGTTCATCAGCAGCATGCATGCTAAGTCCACATCTCAAAGCTAAATTTTTCGTAGGTCTTTTATGGTCCAAGCTCACAACCATTCGAGGCCAAATATAATTAGAGTGATAAGAACGAAATATTCATAATATTGACTTCATTAAGTAGAGAGAAAGACTACTAAACGATATCTAACCAACCCAATAGAAGCTCAAAACACTGCAACTAGCTTAAAGCAAATGTCCCTTTGTTTTCTAAATTATCTACGAAGATTATCTATCACATGTCCGTCGCGTCCAGGCACCCGAATGGAAAAAGGATCAGGTGGGGTAGTCAGCACAGTAATACCTGCAGCTTTCATCATCGGACGTCGAGGATGAATAAAAAAGACCATCCGTATCACCTCGACGTCCGTTACACAATTGAGCGTTTTTGAGGCAGTTTTTGCCGCGTACCACCACTATGTGGAACCAGCTGCCCACTGAAGTATTTCCGAACCAATTCGACTTAGGGTCCTTCAAGAAAAGAGCGTACCAATTCTTGAAAGGCCGGCAACGCACTTGCGAAGCCTCTGGGCTTATGATAATGATAATGTGAGTCTATGAGAGGCGGTATCACTTAACAGAGAGAACCGACCTTAAGATGACCGACGCACGACTACGAGGCACTAGGCCAACTTTTCTCTATTTATAACATGAATTACAGTATAGTCTATCTATACTAATATTATAAAGAGGAAAGGTTTGATTTTTTGTTTGTTTGAAATGAATAGGCTCCGAAACTACTGGACCGATTTCAAAAATTATTTCACCGTTGGCAAGCTACACTATTCCCGAGTGACATAGGCTATGTTTCATTTAAAAAAAAAATTAGGGATGCTTACTAAAACTTGAATAATCTAACCCAAGGTGTAAAAAAATAAACAAAAAACTTCCTTCAATCGTGTGCGCTGCGAAAACTATTAATGATAGAACAAAATGATGCATTACAATTTTTCAGGACACATCACTATCTATAAAAAATGTCAGAGACAACATGTCTCTATCTTTTATATTCGTACCTAGGTATTGATCCTTATCAAAATAATTACCAACGTTTTACATAAGCTACAATTTAATGGCATAACCACCAAAAAAGCATGGTGGATTGGTGTTCTGCCGTTTCTCTTGAATAGTTTACTACTATGTAATATAACAAAAATCTTAGCCACAGCAACGCTTGGCCGAGTCTACTAGTATGTTATAATAGTATTTTCTACGTTATTTTTTGTATTTCAGGTGATATCACGTCTCGTCACCCAGCAATTCTCGCGCTACGCAATATCTTGAAGTCGGCTTCGTGTAATGACGTCACTTCTATTGCATTGCCATTGCTTCTTAGACATGACTTAACTGAGGTATGAATTTTACTTCATACAAACGTAATAATAATCCAGTGACGTACAAGTAGGCGATCAGCCATGTCGTTGATTCATGGATTTGACACATGCCGGTGTCCTCTTTGCCGAGAATCGAACCTATGACCTTAGGGGTCGCACGCTGAAGCTACTAGGCCAACACTGTTTTAATAATAATTTGTAATTGACGGCTCAATGGTCTAGTGGGTAGTACCCCTGACTGCGAATCCATGGGTCCCGGGTTCGACCCCCGGCTGAGACAAACATCGATGTGATGAGCATTTGGTGTTGTGCTTAGGTCTTGGGTGTTTAAATATGTATTTATATGTCTATCTATCTATAATATGTATGTATATCCGTTGCCTAGTACCCATAACACAAGCTTCACCAGCTTAGCATGGGACTAGGTAAATTGGTGTAAAAAATAACATACCACTAAATTGAATTTCATAGATTTGTATAATTAAAACAAATTTTAATTTTTACAGGATATGACAATGTCGTGGTGTATCAGACGAGCGGAATTAGTCCTCAAATGTGTAAAGGGCTTTATGTTAGAGGGGAGTGGAGGGGGCGGGGCAGAACTACGAACTCTCACCGTGGCGTTGCCTTCTACCACTAACCAAACATTATTTAGTGCTCTGGCAGATTTATTGACTAATATATTTAGATTGGCCGGACCTGTGCGACAAAATAAATTAGAATAGAAAATATTGATCTGATTACATTAGTTAAGTTACTACTAACAAAACCCCACAATAGTTTCACCAAACGACGTAAATTTGATAAGTTTGTTCAATACCTTTATCGGATATATTGCGGACTATAAATTACGTACAAAAATTAAATATTGAAATCGGAATCAGTAGATATATATACTGATTAGAATTTTTAACTGCTCCTGAATCGGATATACATTAAGTACTGTAGATAAAAAATATTACGGTAATTTATATATCTAATCTACTTTCTAAATTAAATAACCAATAAATCTAAATTGATTTGAACTTTTAAAAATACTACTCTCATCTTCAAAAAGATTTGAATGTAGTTTTAGTGGTAACTGTTTAAAAATAAAATTTATTAATTCATGGTTAATAGACTATTTCCCTAGTCTTGATTATATTTTCTCATAAACTAAGCTATTAAAGAAATACAGACTGATTTAAGTTTTTTTTCTTTTACGATACCTAAAACGTAAGTAAAAATATGGATACATATATAATTTTTCAATCAATTAGCGAAAAAATATCCTATGCTCTTTACGTAAATTAGATTATTATTTAGCTTTTGTGTAAATATATTGTTAGCGGACTAACGCCATTTTGTAGCAGAAACCTATATAAGCGTGGCAACACCGGCGTTGACTCACTTTTTTTCGAGACTTCGTGGGAACGGACTTGTTACTAACCTAACCTCAGTAGATTTTAAAAGTCTGAAGTACCTAACTTCTAATCTTTGTTTTCTAATATCAGAATTGGATTTGAACTTTTCGCTCACTTCTCTTTTGTTTTGTTTTGAGTAATCTTTGTGGTTTAAATTTTCCTTCTCTTTGTTTAATGTACGAAGTCACAAGTGATTAACATTTTAAAAGTGCTCTTTGTGTTAAAATGTTGTTTGTGTTTGTGAGTGAACAGTGTCACATTAAATTGGGATCGTCTAGTCAGAAGGTAGACGAGAGAGTTTGACAGAGGACGGCCGAAGTTGAAGAACAGTCAAATCAATCAGACACTTCTTAATGTGGGTCGTAGACCCCCTTGTAAATTCCAGAAGGATGATCTGGTCTTTGTTATTAAGAACATGCAAAGGTATGTTTCTGTTTTAAATTTTTGTGTGTAATGTTTTAGACCACTTTGAGAACATACAATGTATGGGTCTCGTTTTAAGTTATTCTGTGTAATTTTTAGACCACTTAGAGAACATGCAAAATTATGAGTCTCTGTTTTAAAAATTGTGTTATGAGAGCACTAGGAGCCACTGTCGATAGAGGTGTATTGCAAATATGATTGTCTTTATTTATTTAATCTGAAGCTATCTTATTTTAATATTTGCTTTTGAAAGATCAATGAAGGGTAACCAGTCCCAAACTCACGATCTTCCTGTATAAATTAAAAGATAATGGACAGGGTAACCAGCCCCAAACTCACGATCTTCTGTATAAATTTAAAAATAATGACAGGTAACCAGCCCCAAACTAGATTTGTATAAATGTAAAAATCAATGGACAGGGTAACCAGCCCCAAACTCACGATCTTCCTGTATAAATGTAACAAGATCAATGGACAGGGTAACCAGCCCCAAACTTAAGATCTTCCTTATTAGGTAAAAGATCAATGGACAGGGTAACTAGCCCCAAACTCTGATCTTCCTTATGAATGGTAAAAATCAATGGACAGGGTAACCAGCCTCAAACTCAGATTTCCTTTATGAGGTAAAAGATCAATGACAGTAACTACCCCAAACTCACGATCTTCTTGAAAATAAGTAACCTTTATACCTTATATCTACTTTATGTGATACTAAACTTGTGATTTTTACACAAGTCTTTAAATAAAGTATATTTTTTAAATCTTGTAAGGTTATGAATAATCTTTACTATTCTTGAGTCTGATACTTTAAAGTTCCTTTCTATTTTTACTTTGATTGTTTGTATTAAACCAGTAAATATTTCAGTTTGACCAATAGACGAGAATACCTTCCCAGAATTGTAATTTAAGTTCTATTCAACCCACAGAGATGACAGTATAGACCTGAATCAATCTGAGAGGACGTCAGGTGTCAGGAGAGGCGTGTTAGCGGACTAACGCCATTTTGTAGCAGAAACCTATATAAAGCGTGGCAACACCGCGTTGACTCACTTTTATTTGAACTTTGGGAACGGACTTGTTATAACCTAACCTCAGTAGATTTTAAAAGTCTGAAGTACCTACAGTTCTAATCTTTGTGTTTCCTAATATATATTATAATGATATCGTTCTATCACATTATTGAATACGATTCCTATATTATATATAAATGTTTGAACAATAAATTGTTGATAAATTATTTCATTTGTTTTCTTTAATTTATTTAAAAAAATTATTGTGCCTTTGGAACTCTGTGCTCGTATAGTTTAAAATCGTTAGTACACTGCTACAAGACGGCTACAAGCAAGTTCTGTTGATTTATCTGACGTTGTTACTCTTTATGAGACATTGCTTATCTTAATACGTTGCGTGACGAAAAAGAGTTTAACAATTTTGAATCAGAGACGTAAAGTATTCCACAAGGGATTCAACAATATAAGGGATACAATATACAATATAAGGGATTCAATAATTCTATCATCGAAACTATTGCGCCTTATTTAGCTTTCATATTTAACACCAGCATAGACCAAGGAGTCTTTCCGGATCTCATAAAACACAGTAAAGTAGTTCCGTTGTTCAAATCCGGTGATAGTAAAGAACCCAATAATTATAGACCTGTGTCAATTCTGCCAGCTCTCAGTAAGGTGTTTGAAAAGGTGTCTCAAGGTTCAATATTGGGTCCATTCCTCTTTTTAGTATACATAAATGATTTACCCCAAACCGAAGATGGTGTTATTTGCAGATGACACATCATTGATTTTTAAAGTAGATCGACGGTCACAAAATCGTGACGACGTGAATAACTCTAAAATGAATGATAAAAAAACTAAATGTATTAGATTTACGTTGCCAAATGTTAAAAGTAGGGAATGTGACATAATGTTGAATGAAGGAAAACTAGAATTTATTAATCAAACGGTTTTCCTAGGCATCACGCTAGACGAGAAGTTACAATGGGGACCTCATATCACATCTCTTGCGGGGCGGCTGAGCTCAGCCGTTTATGCGGTTAGAAAGATAAGATATTTAACCAATGTAGAAACTGCGCGTTTGGTCTATTTTAGCTACTTTCACAGCATAATGTCTTACGGCATTTTACTGTGGGGTCGGGCTGCTGACATAGAATCCATTTTTATTTTGCAAAAGAGAGCGGTCATAGCCATTTATAATCTACGTCATTGCGAATCTCTTAGGGAACTATTTAAAAAGATTAATATTATGACAGTACCTTGCCAATTCATTTATGAAAATATTATGTATGTAAGAAAGAATCTACATCTTTTTAGTAAAATAAATGAAAGACATAATTTTAGTACTAGAAATAAAGATAAAATAGCTCAACCATCTTTCAGATTAGCCAAAGTTCAAAATTCATTTATGGGGTACTGTGTGAAATATTACAATAAAATACCTTGTGACATTTTAAAACTAAATGAACGAAAATTTAAATGTTTTATTAAAAGTACACTTTGTAAACAAGCATATTACAAATTAGATGATTATATTCAAGATAAGAATGCTTGGAAACATGCTGGTCAGTGGTCCTGCTCCATAGGACAATCATAGAGCCTGGACAAAATCAAATTGGTTGCTGATTTTTTGCCTTAACATATTTTTGTTATTATTATTATTATTTTCTTTTTTTTAAATTTATAAATGCTACAAATGTAATTTTTTTTTGTATCTTACACACTGTTTTGTTTTGTTTTTTTAATATTTTTATTACTCTTTAATGTTAATATTCTACGGTTTCGATATTTGTAAATATGTGAGGAACATGTATACTAACTTTTTTAGTATAGTAGTTTATTCTAAGAGTACATTGTCTTCACATATAATTATTTAACAAATGTAACAAAATATTGTAAACCTATTTTAAAAGAGTAAGTGTGGAGTTTCTTGCCCATTCTTCTCCACACGAAAATACCTTATGGAAGGGGCAACTAGAATCTTCTTTATATATATTTTTTTGACGTTCAAAAGTGCCATTTTAGATGGTCTAATTGAAATAAATGATTTGACTTTGACTTTGAATACGAAAATCTATTTTAGATCACGCTACAACTAAATAAAAGATTACTTTCACATGGCTTTAATAGATAGAATCTCCTATGTCAAGACCATAAACATAATATTAGGTAGAGTTAAAAACTGGCAAGATTCCGAAGAAAGAAATTATCAAGTACCAAGCAATCGATTACGAAAAATTGGGAAAATTAACAACAACTCTTGGACTTGAAGATAATGATGACTACAAGATACTGGAAAATTCTATTATGGATCACGTAAACAACTGTAAAATAATCAAAAAGAAAATACTTAATGAACCTCAAAAGGATTGGATTAATAATGATTGATGAAATAAACCAAAGAAATAAACTATGGATAAAATTTAAAAAAACATGCGTGTCTGTGAAACTACAAAGCAAGAATTCGAAGACTATAAAATCTATGTTTGTAAAGTGTAAACGCATTAGGGATACCAAAGATGCTTATTACTTTCAAAAATTCATAAAATTCAAAATTAATCCGAAAAAAATGTGGAACCTCGTAAATGACTAAGCAAAAAATAAAACAAATACTAGTTGTGGGCCTTCGATATGTTAACGTAAAATTGTAAATACTGTTAGATTGTAATCTATCTCGCGAGATTATAAACTGTCGAAAGATTGTGAACTCAAAGTACTACTCACAATTTAACGTATTATTATTCGGTAGATTATAATCTATCGAAGTGAACTCACAACACCTCGCGCGCTGATTGGTCGGCTTTATAGTAGACCGTTATATTATGTCCATAGAGTTAGGAATGAAACAAGGGTATCGGTCAAATAAAATGAATGCACTTCAAAAACTAGTATTTATTACTTTGTAGGTAATCAATAATTCTGACATCACATGATTAAAAAAGTATATCTCAAAATAAAATCAAAATTTAAAAAAAAAACAAATCGAAGACATATGAACGTTTTTGAAAACATAAAGTAACATAGATTATAATCTACCGAATAATAATACGTTAAATTGTAAGCAGTACGTTGAGTTCACAATTTTTCGACAGTTTACAATCTCGCGAGATAGATTACAATCTAATGGTTTTTACAATTTTACGTTGACAGATACACATTGTAGTGCAGGCCTGGACGGTATTAGCACAAAATTTATACAATTTATAAAAGATCATATTGCTAAACCTATGTAATTAATGTTTTAACAAATTATTAGAAATTGGAGAATTTCCAGACTCTCTAAAAATAGCTGAAGTCACTCCCATCATTAAATCTGGACCTAAAACTAATACTGGAAACTATAGACCAATCTCGGTGCTACCCATAATAAGTAAAATACTTGAAAAGATACTATAATATAACCGTCTTACAAAGTATCTAACGTCTATAAATTTTTTATTTGAACGACAGTATGGTTTAGCCGTCGGTTTTGGTAGCCGTCGGTTTTGGTAACATACAAAACCGTTAACCCGGCTCAAGGGTCACCAGAGTCACGTTCTCTGGCGGCCACTTGAGTAATTCTTCTATGGCGCGTCCAAGCCGCGGGGGTGGGCATTGAGTGTTCTATTTGGCTCGGGACATCTCAATGGCTGAGTTCAGGGAATGACCCAGCACCACGGGGTATAACGTGGTCCCCTGCCTAGGGTTACAGGTGAAGACCTTAACGGCGGTGAAGGCGTAGATCTAGAAGATCACATCGGTGACATCGGCGGAAGAGGCAAGCTCAGCTGTAGGAGCTTAATACGACAGCCTGGCGCTAGGCAGCAGTAGGGCCAGTACGATATCGAGGCCAGAGATGGGCTCATATCGAGAATTACCGGCGGAGCTAGGATGGCGGTACGGCGGTAATCTGCGATGACGGAAGGCAACGGGAAACCACCGTCATAATACTCCCTAGTTGATCAGCTCTGATCATTAAGCATGGATAGCACAAATATAGCCACGGCCCTGAGTCTCCGGCGTCCCTTAAATGGGTCAGGGGTGCGAAGAATCTCCGGAGGGGATCACGAACAAAAACAACGACACAGGCTAAAAATTGGAACATGGAACGTAAGGAGTCTTAAACAGCATGGGAAACTACATAATGTCATTAAAGAAATGAGGCGCCTAGAAATTGGGGTGTTGGGTTGGGGGGGCCCCCCCCCCGCCCCCCCCCCCCCCCCCCCCCCCCCCCCCCCCCGGGAGGGGGGAAAAAAGGGGGGGGCCCCCCCCCCCCCCCCCCCCCCCCCCCCCCCCCCCGGGGGGGGGGGGGTGTTTTTTTTTTTTTTTTTTTTCTTTTTTTTTTTTTTATTCTCCAACAAAAAACAAAAAAAAAATTTTTTACAAACCCCCCAAAAAAACAAAGGGCGGTATTTGTCTGATTAATAAAAATAATTATTATTATTATTATTATTATTAGTGATACTAAATGGCCAGGAAACGATCGATACAAGACCACAGAGGGCGAAGTACTTGTACTACTCGGGTAAAAATGGCTCAACCGAACCTTATGGAGTGGCAGTCCTGCTCACCAAAGAAACTGCTCAAGCCGTTCGCGGTTTCATACCACATTCCAACCGAAGTATGCTGTTATGTCTGGAAGCTAAACTGCAGAACATAAATATCATACAAGTGTATGCCCCGACAGCCGACAAACCCCAAAACGAATTTGATGAATTTTACGCGGAAGTTAGGAATCTTTTACAATACACGAAGAAACATGACATAAATATTATAATGGGAGATCTAAACGCAAAGGTGGGTTCAGGGGAGGTACCAGGAGTGATCGGACCTTATGGATTAGGGGTAAGAAATGAACGGGGCGAAGCGCTCATTGAGTTCTGTCAAGAACATGAACTCGTAGTCACGAACACCCTGTTCAAACATCACCCAAGGAGGCTCTACACATGGACCTCACCAGCGCATACACCAGATCACATAGCTCGCAACCAGATAGATTACATAGCGATAAATAGTCGTTTCAAAAATTCGATTAAAAGTGCTCAAACCTATCCTGGTGTTTTGGTATCAACTCTGACCACAACCCCGTTATAGTTCAAATGTGCTGTAACCTGAAAAAATTAAAAAAGACTAAAATCATCTGTCGTCCGGATATACGCAGTATCAATCATCCGGATAAAAGAGTAAAAGTCTCCAAGGCTATAAACCGCTGGGCTGAAGAAAATTTTAATACAACTGCATCTGTAGAAGAAGTGAATCATGCTCTAGTTAGAACCATTACCTATATTAATGAAACTATTTTGGGTCAGACGCAATATAACAAAAGACAACAGTGGATGGAAGATGAAATCTTAGACCTCATGGAAGAACGACGACTGATTAAACAATTCGATCCACACGCATACAATGCCCTAAATAAGTTAATCAGGAGGAAAATTCGAGCAGCTAGGTGAAAATTTTATGAGGACAAATGTGTTAGGTTGGAAGAGCTCAACACCAAACATGACAGCTTTAACTTACACAAAGAGATCAAAGAGATGGCTGGATTGCGGAAAAGGACAAACCGGAATACGTTAGTGGATGATAGTGGTAATGTATTATTAGACGTAGAGAGCAAGAAATCTACTTGGAAACTCTATGTTGAAGACATATTCGCAGATGCAACTAGAAGAATCACAGTAACACCAGGAAATGAAACTGGACCTCCTATATTGAGAGCAGAGGTAGTAAAAGCTCTAAAGAGAGCCAAAACTGGAAAATCTCCAGGTCCAGATCAAATTCATGTGGAGATTCTCCAACTATTAGAGGAACACCTTGTGGATGCGGTAACCAACTTCTTCAACTGTATTTATGCAACGGGGATTATGCCGAAGGATTGGTTAAATTCAACGTTCATCACCCTCCCGAAGAAACCTACGGCTAAGAAATGCACAGAATATCGCACAATAAGTCTGATGAGTCAGGTCTTAAAACTTTTTCTCTCGATTATACATGAGAGGATTAGAGGCAAATGCGATGCACAAATTTCGGAGAGCCAGTTCGGGTTCAGATCTGGAGTAGGAACCAGAGAAGCCTTGTTCTCATTGAATGTGCTTGTTCAAAAATGTCGAGACTTACAGACAGACGTCATTATATGTTTTGTTGATTACGAAAAGGCCTTTGACCGTGTCAAACACGAGGTACTTCTGGTAATATGCGTCGTCTGCAAGAAGTCGGAATTGATGGCAGGGATATGAGGATAATACAAAACCTCTACTGGAATCAAACCAGCACGGTGAGAGTGGACGGTGATGAAACCGAACTAATTTCAATCTGTCGTGGAGTCAGGCAAGGGTGCATTCTGTCCCCGCTTCTATTTAATCTGTATTCAGAAGCAATTATCTCTGAAGCACTGGAAGGCAAAGAGTGGGGTATCAAGATCAATGGGCAAATAATTAACAACTTGAGATACGCCGATGATACCACTCTTATAGCAACAACACCTGAAGATCTACAGAGTATAGTTGACCACGTCTATGAGTGCAGCAAAAGAGCGGGGCTATCAATGAACCTCGCCAAAACCAAGTATATGGTGATTAGCAGAAGAGAAGACTTAAACCCAACAATCTCGGTGGCAGGTACTACTTTAGAGAGAGTTAATAAATACAAGTACCTAGGCACATGGCTGACTGAAGCATGGGAGTCTGAAAATAAAGTGAAGACCCGAATAGAAGTTGCTCGTGCTTCCTTCAACAAAATGAGAAAGGTACTCTGCAACAAGGACATCAGTCTGCACCTCCGAAGTAGGATGCTCCAATGTTACATCTGGCCAGTTGTAATGTATGGTTGCGAGGCTTGGACCTTGAAGGAGGCAACCATTGAGAAACTTGACGCCTTTGAAATGCTGTGTTACCGATGAATGCTGAGGATAAGCTGGATCCATAGAGTCACGAACGAAGAAGTTCTACGGCCCGTCAAACGATCCCGAGAACTCACGTTCCCCTAAAAAAACACATCTTTCGGGACAGCGCCCGTTGTACTCATAAAAGAGCACCAGCACTAAGGCTGTCAGGACTATGCCTGATATGTGTTAAAAAAACACATCTTTCGGGACAGCGCCCGTTGTACTCATAAAAGAGCACCAGCACTAAGGCTGTCAGGACTATGCCTGATATGTGTTAAAAAAACACATCTTTCGGGACAGCGCCCGTTATACTCATAAAAGAGCACCAGCACTAAGGCTGTCAGGACTATGCCTGATATGTGTTAAAAAAACACATCTTTCGGGACAGCGCCCGTTATACTCATAAAAGAGCACCAGCACTAAGGCTGTCAGGACTATGCCTGATATGTGTTAAAAAAACACATCTTTCGGGACAGCGCCCGTTGTACTCATAAAAGAGCACCAGCACTAAGGCTGTCAGGACTATGCCTGATATGTGTTAAAAAAACACATCTTTCGGGACAGCGCCCGTTGTACTCATAAAAGAGCACCAGCACTAAGGCTGTCAGGACTATGCCTGATATGTGTTAAAAAAACACATCTTTCGGGACAGCACCCGTTACACTCTCAAAAGAGCTCCAGCACTAAGGCTGTCAGGACTATGCCTGATATGTGTTAAAAAAACACATCTTTCGGGACAGCGCCCGTTGCACTCATAAAAGAGCTCCAGCACTAAGGCTGTCAGGACTATGCCTGATATGTGTTAAAAAAACACATCTTTTGGGACAGCGCCCGTTGTACTCATAAAAGAGCACCAGCACTAAGGCTGTCAGGACTATGCCTGATATGTGTTAAAAAAACACATCTTTCGGGACAGCGCCCGTTGTACTCATAAAAGAGCACCAGCACTAAGGCTGTCAGGACTATGCCTGATATGTGTTAAAAAAACACATCTTTCGGGACAGCACCCGTAACACTCTCAAAAGAGCTCCAGCACTAAGGCTGTGTCAGGACTATGCCTGATATGTGTTAAAAAACACATCTTTCGGGACAGCGCCCGTTGTACTCATAAAAGAGCACCAGCACTAAGGCTGTCAGGACTATGCCTGATATGTGTTAAAAAAACACATCTTTCGGGACAGCGCCCGTTATACTCATAAAAGAGCACCAGCACTAAGGCTGTCAGGACTATGCCTGATATGTGTTAAAAAACACATCTTTCGGGACAGCGCCCGTTATACTCATAAAAGAGCACCAGCACTAAGGCTGTCAGGACTATGCCTGATATGTGTTAAAAAACACATCTTTCGGGACAGCGCCCGTTACACTCATAAAAGAGCACCAGCACTAAGGCTGTCAGGACTATGCCTGATATGTGTTAAAAAAACACATCTTTCGGGACAGCGCCCGTTATACTCATAAAAGAGCTCCAGCACTAAGGCTGTGTCAGGGACTGCGCCTGATTTGTGTTCTTTCACAGCAGCACCCATAACACTCTCAAAAGAGCTCCAGCACTAAGGCTGTGTCAGGGTCTGCGCCTGATTTGTGTTCTTTCACATCAGCACCCATAACACTCTCAAAAGAGCTGCAGCACTAAGGCTGTGTCAGGGACTGCGCCTGATTTGTGTTCTTTCACATCAGCACCCATAACACTCTCAAAAGAGCTCCAGCACTAAGGCTGTGTCAGGGACTGCGCCTGATTTGTGTTCTTTCACATCAGCACCCATAACACTCTCAAAAGAGCTCCAGCACTAAGGCTGTGTCAGGGTCTGCGACTGATTTGTGTTCTTTCACATCAGCACCCATAACACTCTCAAAAGAGCTCCAGCACTAAGGCTGTGTCAGGGTCTGCGCCTGATTTGTGTTCTTTCACATCAGCACCCATAACACTCTCAAAAGAGCTCCAGCACTAAGGCTGTGTCAGGGACTGCGCCTGATTTGTGTTCTTGTACATCAGCACCCATAACACTCTCAAAAGAGCTCCAGCACTAAGGCTGTGTCAGGGTCTGCGCCTGATTTGTGTTCTTTCACATCAGCACCCATAACACTCTCAAAAGAGCTCCAGCACTAAGGCTGTGTCAGCGACTGCGCCTGATTTGTGTTCTTTCATCACATCTTTCAGGTCAGCACCCGTAACACTCTCAAAAGAGCTCCAGCACTAAGGCTGTGTCAGGGTCTGCGCCTGATTTGTGTTCTTTCACATCAGCACCCATAACACTCTCAAAAGAGCTCCAGCACTAAGGCTGTGTCAGGGTTTGCGCCTGATTTTTGTTCTATCACATCAGCACCCATAACACTCTCAAAAGAGCTCCAGCACTAAGGCTGTGTCAGGGTCTGCGCCTGATTTGTGTTCTTTCACATCAGCACCCATAACACTCTCAAAAGAGCTCCAGCACTAAGGCTGTGTCAGGGTCTGCGACTGATTTGTGTTCTTTCACATCAGCACCCATAACACTCTCAAAAGAGCTCCAGCACTAAGGCTGTGTCAGGGTCTGCGACTGATTTGTGTTCTTTCACATCAGCACCCATAACACTCTCAAAAGAGCTCCAGCACTAAGGCTGTGTCAGGGTCTGCGCCTGATTTGTGTTCTTTCACATCAGCACCCATAACACTCTCAAAAGAGCTCCAGCACTAAGGCTGTGTCAGGGTCTGCGCCTGATTTGTGTTCTTTCACATCAGCACCCATAACACTCTCAAAAGAGCTCCAGCACTAAGGCTGTGTCAGGGTCTGCGACTGATTTGTGTTCTTTCACATCAGCACCCATAACACTCTCAAAAGAGCTCCAGCACTAAGGCTGTGTCAGGGTCTGCGCCTGATTTGTGTTCTTTCACATCAGCACCCATAACACTCTCAAAAGAGCTCCAGCACTAAGGCTGTGTCAGGGTCTGCGCCTGATTTGTGTTCTTACACATCAACACCCATAACACTCTCAAAAGAGAACCAGCACTAAGGCTGTGTCAGGGTCTGCGCCTGATTTGTGTTCTTTCACATCAGCACCCATAACACTCTCAAAAGAGCTCCAGCACTAAGGCTGTGTCAGGGTCTGCGCCTGATTTGTGTTCTTTCACATCAGCACCCATAACACTCTCAAAAGAGCTCCAGCACTAAGGCTGTGTCAGGGGCTGCGCCTGATTTGTGTTCTTTCATCACATCTTTCAGGTCAGCAACCGTAACACTCTCAAAAGAGCTCCAGCACTAAGGCTGTGTCAGGGTCTGCGCCTGATTTGTGTTCTTTCACATCAGCACCCATAACACTCTCAAAAGAGCTCCAGCACTAAGGCTGTGTCAAGGTCTGCGCCTGATTTATGTTCTTTCACATCAGCACCCATAACACTCTCAAAAGAGCTCCAGCACTAAGGCTGTGTCAGGGTCTGCGCCTGATTTGTGTTCTTTCACATCAGCACCCATTTCACTCTCAAAAGAGCTCCAGCACTAAGGCTGTGTGTCTCTTTGTGTTCTTTCATCACATCTTTCAGGTCAGCAACCGTGACACTCTCAAAAGAGCTCCAGCACTAAGGCTGTGTCAGGGTCTGCGACTGATTTGTGTTCTTTCACATCAGCACCCATAACACTCTCAAAAGAGCTCCAGCACTAAGGCTGTGTCAGGGTCTGCGCCTGATTTGTGTTCTTTCACATCAGCACCCATAACACTCTCAAAAGAGCTCCAGCACTAAGGCTGTGTCAGGGACTGCGCCTGATTTGTGTTCTTTCACATCAGCACCCATAACACTCTCAAAAGAGCTCCAGCACTAAGGCTGTGTCAGGGACTGCGCCTGATTTATGTTCTTTCACATCAGCACCCATAACACTCTCAAAAGAGCTCCAGCACTAAGGCTGTGTCAGGGTCTGCGACTGATTTGTGTTCTTTCACATCAGCACCCATAACACTCTCAAAAGAGCTCCAGCACTAAGGCTGTGTCAGGGACTGCGCCTGATTTGTGTTCTTTCAGGTCAGCACCCATAACAATCTCAAAAGAGCTCCAGCACTAAGGCTGTGTCAGGGACTGCGCCTGATTTGTGTTCTTACACATCAACACCCATAACACTCTCAAAAGAGCTCCAGCACTAAGGCTGTGTCAGGGTCTGCGCCTGATTTGTGTTCTTTCACATCAGCACCCATAACACTCTCAAAAGAGAACCAGCACTAAGGCTGTGTCAGGGTCTGCGCCTGATTTGTGTTCTTTCACATCAGCACCCATAACACTCTCAAAAGAGCTCCAGCACTAAGGCTGTGTCAGGGACTGCGCCTGATTTATGTTATTTCACATCAGCACCCATAACACTCTCAAAAGAGCTCCAGCACTAAGGCTGT